GTTACCAAATGCGTTCTGTTTGCAACGCCATCGGTGGCATGTACCATTCCTCCCACAATGTACACGCAATGTGTACAATGCCGCTAAGCGGCCAACTTATGCTATGCATTCTGCTAAGCCGCCATAGGCTTATCAGTTTTGTAGCCATTTATCATACTTGCCCTTACCCTTACGCAATGGTGGCACCCATCGATGCTCAAAGTTCACGTTGCTGACATAGCGTTATTCACGACCGCTGAAGACAGAAGCCGCCTGACTGTGTTGCGTAGATGACTCATCATTCACTGTTCATAGCACCGTCAACGCTCATGTAACTTACAGTCCTCATCGATCCACTAAAATGCTCCTCATCGCTATAATGTTGAAATCTTAGCTTGGCCGAAACGCGGCCAGTCTGTAACCCTCACCACTTCAGCATACTGTCTCCTTCTCCTCGGCATACAAATGTTTGAATGCCACTGCCTCATTGTTAGCCTCACTTCACTACATGCCTTAGCACCTCAGAGCTCTAACTTGTCTCATTCCTCTACTATTACTTCTCTATCGTTACTATTATGTAATCAGTGTTGTGTTTATGTATTAAAGGTTTAATTACCCAAGTTTGAGGCTAGGTAGGTCAACCACAACAACTAAAAGACCCGCGTGGCTATTATTCTACATCAATCTGAACCGCTACACTTCGCCGCTAACCATTTCGTTACAATGTCCTCGATGTGAAGGGAGTGGACCGACAGATAGGTAACATACTATCAAACTTGTTCACTGCCACTGTCGAGCATTTGGCGAGAAAACTTATATCATATATTAGGTAACAAAGAAAATCTTGGCGTGTAGATAGTTGGCACTTGTACCGTTTGGCTCTGATCTTATAACATTAAGAATTCCTTCATGGAAAGCCTGAACGAAATATTTCGTGCAGTTTTTGTTCTTCGAAGAATCAGAATAGAAAGAAGAATTCTAATTTGCGACAGTAACGAATCCACATCTATTGAGGCCTTGTGGAATCCTTGATGGGTGACGAGTAGAGAGATCTTTTGCTGCCAAAGATAGCATTGTTTTTAAAGGAGTAGGAGAGAAATAGTTTGTTTCCATTGTTTATTTTATCGGTACGTGTTCATAAAAATAAAGGCGTCTTTTCATGGATAGAGATTTGAGTACTTCATTACTTGGACTGTCAATGAAAAATCTAGAGGATATGCCTTTCCACCTGTGTCAGTGTTGTGAAAAAAATTGCTAGAAATAGTTATTTATGCATTTTGTTAGACAATTGATGCTTTCTGTTGTTGTGCGACGATTTTGGGACAATATAATACCAGTCGTACGTAGGGCTAGAAAGTATCTTCGGAATTTAGCTATCCACAGTTGAAACAAAGCGATTCTATTAGGAATATGGTGGTTTCAAAGGTTGATTATTACATAGCAGTGGTTATATAGATTAGGCATCAAGTCAGCAAATCAATTATCAAAGTATTAACTGGATAAAATAGGTTAAAAAACGAAAAATAATGAGATCGAATTGTATTGACTCTTCACGTTACACAGTATCCAAATTGTGCATGTTATTCTTACTATAACGTTAAAGTTAGCTATTTTGACTCTAAGGTACACAAAAGTAAGGGTCTAATCCAGGAGGATTTACACCATGAGGTTGGGGGGTGCTAGGACGTGGTTGCTGTGGCGGTGGTTGGGTACCAGGTGGTGGTGGGTAGGCACCGGGAGGTGGTGGGTAGGCAACTGGAGGTGGTGGGTAGACGCCGGGAGGTGGTGGATAAGCACCTGGAGGTGATGGATAAGCACCTAGAGGTGGCGGATAAGCACCTGGAGGTGGTGGATAAGCACCTGGAGGTGGTGGATAAGCACCTGGAGGTGGTGGATAAGCACCAGGAAGTACATTCGGTGTACCTCCCTGTGGTGCATTTGCAGCATTTTTAATTCCTGGACCTTTGGGTGCAACTTTCTTCGTCTTTTTGGACATAGTTTGCACTGGAGGACCGCCCCAGTTACTGACACATTCATTTATTGTTTCGTCGTCGTCCTGTGGTCGAAATTCTGGAAGAAAGAATAATTACTGTGTTACTACTCCCCTAAACACCTATACATATATATATATATATATATATATATATATGCATACAAGTGGTGGGTATATATAACTGTATATATACACGTATACATATGCATATAACGTATATATATATGTAATGCTTATATATATATATATATATATATATATATATACATGGGTATAACCAAGACCGACTTTCTGTTTCTTCAACTCGGCATTGACCGAATAATTCTTTATATTCTCATTAAGCAAACCCGAGGTGTTATTTTACTCTTTATGAAGATGAAGCTGACGTATCGGTAGATATAAATATATATATACATATGCATATACACATACATTACACCTAGGGTTCGTGTACCGTAGTGGTAGGAGGCGCTTTGCAATACGCACGGGTTCGATCCAGGCGCCCTAGACCCACCAAACTCTTTATATCTCAAAGTCGGCAAATTGATACCATACTTCCCTGGTAGGACAGCAGCACTGCTCTATACATCGGTAGGCCACGATGAGTCATTTTAACGGTCTGACAAGCATTAAATAACGTTAACGATGTTTAGTGAGGTAGAGTGCATGGTACATCCCTCAGGGATTGATCAATGCCGAGAGCTTTATCCTTTATTATTTAACCTCAAAATAGGGTAGGAGATCGTTCCAGATTTTCTGGTCCAACAGAATGGCTTTTTTCTTTTGTCTTTTCTTCATTTCTTACATCAGGTTAATAGAAACTTAAAACAGTGAAAGAACAATACCTTGCTTTTTCTTTCTCTTCTCTCCGCTAGCTGGTGAACGTTGCCGATTTTCCTCAGAACTCTGAGAGCTCTCGGATAAGCTGCCTTCTGAGAATCTCTAGGAAGACAAGGATCTATGGTAAATCTCTTATTCTGTTCTAAATTTAGACGAAGTCTCGTAAGTAGTCCTTAAGCAAATTTTCTGTGTGAGAAAAACGATAGCTTTGTGAAAATCTGAGAACGCTTGTGGTAGTCTCATAGTTCAGCAAAATAGGTATTAGGGAAGAAGAAAAGCACTGATCTGTCTTTAGAGGTAGTATTAACGTAGAATAACTTTTATCGCATTGTTGTTGAATGATAACTTGTGGTAAAATAAAGCCAGAAGACATTGAAAAGATGCGTCTGAGAAAAAATTGAATCCTGAATGCATGGGATGGAGGTTTACGTCGCGTGGTATGATTTACTTGATTCTTACTTGCTTGGATATTTGGACGGCCCATCCTCACTAGTTGTGCGAACCCCAACACAATCTCCATTTTTCGGGCTTTTGCTGATTTAGCCATTGTGTTTCCATGGAGTCACGAGATCAGCCTGGCCGAAGTCTGGCCCAGGTCGTCACCACAACAGGCAGTCGCAGCCGTTGTGGATCAGAGAGAGATTTGCCACCATGCGAATTTGATACTACGACGGTGATGGATCATGGTACTGGTTTACACTTAGCTGAGCTTCCCTGGTGGAAACGCCGGGCTCCTTCTCAGCTTGGGAGAACCTGCTGGGGGATGAATCTTCCGCTGTACATTGCGCAGCCCGACTCCGAGAAACACCTACCAGCCACGTTGAGACGGTAACCCGTTGGTAGGATTTACTTGATTACTGCAATAAAGTTTCTTCCCTAGAAATGCACTGATTTCTGATTCCACAACCTACTGTACTAAGTATGAAACTATGGTGTAGTTTTTGGTTGCGAAACTCTCCACGTAAATATAAATGGTTTATTAAATGGCTGAAACAATCGACATACCTCTTTTGAAAACGGACATGTTTTAAAAAAAGCATTAGTCTGGAAAAACGATACAGGTAACAAGGGCTTCACCTCCAGCTGGATTTCTGCCACTGCATAATGCGATCGAATAAGTTAAAGCAGTTAAGGTAACAGTAGTCAAAATTACTAGCATCTGAGTCGTATCGATATAACGCTGAAATTCCATAGTGCTGTCGGTCATGCTTCTCTCATCTATGCAATTCTCTGGAAATTTTGATACATTACTTTTACGAGTAGGTCTAGATTTTGAAAGATAACTTCCTCATGGAAATTGGTCTAAAAAGTTCAGTAATTATTCTTTTAAAAATGTCTCGCTCTATTTCGTTCGCTAATTCATGGAGACTGTGACTTTGGTTTTGGTAGGAATATCAGCTTTCCATGCTCAGTCTGTAGATATTTCAGCAGTGTTTAATCATTTCCAAAAAGATTTGTAAGTGATTAGAACTAGACCTTGATTATTATAGTGAGATTGATGCGATTCTGCTTGATTTGATTTCACCTGTTACATGTTGACCGGTCTTACTAATCCCGGGAATTTCTGCTGCACTAGAAGAATACTACTTATGAGAAAGCAAACTATCTATGGTGCACAAGGGCTAAAGCAAGTCTGTGGTGAAGACATGAGAATTCTTTCACGTTACGTCGCAATTCTAAAGAGAAACTCGTTCAACCAGAATTCCGGATGATGGATGAATAGAACAGAGCATCGATTGCCAGTTGAAAAACAGACTAGCATTATCATCTCTATCGACACGATGAATATAAGTGAGGTCAAACCAAGTGGAAGAAGTGCTTACGTCTCACAAAGGAAGAGGCCATATAGTATTTGAGTGTTGGTTGACATCAGATGAGATTCCAATGAGCCAAGAACGTTATTTTTTTGGGACGAATACGTGGGAATTACTACAAAGTTAAGTGTGCAAGCAGCAAACCATATTCGAGTGGCGAAAGAAAGTTTACAAAGAATGTGGTATAATCTTTTTGAGAATTCCTTGAAATCCGTTAAAAGTAGTAAGGAGAACCTACTTTGCGAGTTCACTTCCGAGCGAGTGTTCAGAACTCAATTACTTTAGATAACTGAACCTTTCTCGCTTCAATTTTATCGAGAAATAGTGGAAGCATATCTCTATCACTATGATACCTTTAAAACTGTATTGATATGTGTGTTCTCTCTTCGATAAGCTTACACGAGGTTGATATATGATACTTATTGGCTAACGTTTCGACATCTTCGCCCTCATTAGAGCCGACGATCCGAGTCGATAGTCCACGATTCTTCTGTCTCGATGGGGCATCTTCGCCTTCGTATCGATATCGTATCCTCGAAACGTCAGCCGAATAAATATTATATATCAACCTCGTGTAAGCTTTCAAAGAAGAGCACATATTGATTAGTCATACAGAGGTTAAAGGAAAGTCGGCTTCGAAATGCTGTATTGATAATTAGGTCGGTAACTCTTCATTTACAGTTAGAAATAGATTCATTTGCCGTCTAAATGCTAGTAAATTTGCGAAAATACAAATACTAACAACTTGCCATGCGTCCTCAAATATTTTTTGTTGTCATAGGTTATTCAGTATTTATAGTTATATTCCAGAAGGAAAGGACTCGTGTGGTACAGGTGGTTGGAGGAGCCACGGCGACACATACGTAGAATCGATCCCCGCACCCATGGCCCACCAAGCCTTCTATACGGGGTTGGCAAATTGGTACCAGGCTTGTCTGAGAGGGTAGCAGCACTGGCTCGATGCATAGGCAGGCCACCGCGAGCCATTGTAAAGGCCAAATATGCATCCATTCATCTCTAAGGATACTTAATAAAGTCGAATGCATGGCGCATCCCTCAGAAATTGATCAACGCTGAGAGCTTTATCCTCTATCCTTTATTGCAGAAGGAGATCGCTCAACTAGCATGCTAAGTACAAATTGCAATCTGTTCCCAAAAATTTATCCTCACATATGCACATCTCACACATTTCCACTTACGGCCTAGAACCTGACCAAGATCGATCCAGATAAGTTAGCTTCCGAAAGAACCACATCGAAATCGTAATAGCGTGATAGATACCTATCAAGAGTAGTACCACCTAACGTTTGTGGAGGTTTTTATTTTCTATAAAGACTTTTTGACTTAATCAAGCCGCCCCCTTGTTGGCGGCTTTGGTTGAAAGAGGAACGTTACCGTACAGAGAGCTATGGTGACACTGCTACCACGACTCTCAACAATAATTCTTTGCCGATGAGGCCATTAATTGGTTCAAGTTCAAACAAAGTTTCCACGTATTTGTGAGGCATCTAACAATGTGAACGAGAAAATCGTAGAGTTCATAAGGTGGCCCGAGAGCATAGAATACTTTGCTATACTTATTATTGAAGAATAATAAACGCATGTTATAGATGTTTCGATATTAACTGTAGAAAAGAAAAGGAATGAAGAGGATTCTCTCAAGAAGGACCGAAAGGAAACTGCTTTTCATTTCTCAGTGTTTAAATTAATCTATCCTAAAACGGGCACATCACCAAATGGCACCAAAAGCCAGAAAACAAAACTATACTGGTTCATTACCTCTTCCCTAACCCCTCACACACAAGGCCGACGCATGTAAGCAACATGTTTCGAACAACGAGCCACTAGTGTTTACGCAGGAAGATGGGAGAAGGAGGAATCCATGGACTTGGCGCAGCAAGCAGTTATTTCCAATGGCTACTAAAGCGTACTTCTTTGGGATAGGTGTAGAAAAAGAACTATCTCTCCAAACGAGACGATATACGGTAACCGACATATCTAACGAGAGTAAAGCCTCGCTGCTGTTCTTCATTTCCAACGAGGTAAGCGCGTTTATAAAACGTCGCTTAAAAAGGAAAACACCACTGAGCACTATAATCTAAACAGTCGTCGGCTAGTTCGTGATCGTTTGCATAACAGTCTATGCACGCAAAGTTGCTTGACGTGTCCTAAAGGTAGGCACGGTGACTGAGTTCGGGTACGGTTTATCAGATATTTTGTAAAGCGTGTTGAGACGAATACATTGGCGAAACGTGTAGACCATTGTGCGTCCGTGTTAATGAACCCTTATTTTGTAAACCTAACATAAAAGCACATTAACATAACTACCATGAGGCTGAGATATTTGCA